AGGAGTATAAAAGAACCATTATTATTTCAATTTTTAGCTACAACGACATACGTTCATCTCCGCATTACTGAGACCGCCGTGCAAGCGCGCTGCCTAGCTGTATATACAGTCACACCTGTTGGCATTCATACCTGCAATCGGGGCACCTACATCCATGCCGCCAGAGATTCCGGAAATCGCTTCTGGGTCCAGCGCGTTCGCCACCCGAGTCTCAAATTCGTTCAGAGGTGGCACGTCTTCTGGACCGCCACCAGTTTTCGCCTGGCTGCAGCGAACTGCAGCAGCTGTTGGAGAGCAGATAATGAATGGCGTACCTGTATCTGCAGCAGTTTTCTGTGGCATACTTGTAAGATTATAAACTGGGGGACGCAACTCGCCTGGATACGCGCCAAGAACTACTGCACGCTTTAGTAAACAAAGATATTACAAATATATTGCGTTAAGTCTCACCATCACCAATGCCTTGAAGTATAGCGAAAGCGTGACACGCGATGTCATTTCTCTTCTTCCACTTTGCATACCGAGCTGAGGTAGGTAGCTTATAAGCATTGATGTCACATTTTTTTTTAAGTGCCTGGCCCCCGGAGCCATGTTGTGGCGCGCAACAAAAGAACACGCGGCCACCTAAAAGTATTTCGGTGCATGGTAAAAATCCTCAGGCGATAAATGTTCATCCCATTATCGTTACTGTGGCATTACATGTAATCTTGTTTAGGCGTGAAACTCTTCAAATGGTTATACCGCTCAAGTACATGCTTGCGGTTGTCGTGGACTAAGAACCAGCGACCAGGCACTCCTTTACACGACGTGATATCTGGTGAGCTGCCGCAGTTGATATGCAGTGACTTTATCGATGTTGCCAGAATTTATATCGGTCATTGCGGATTGATTATTTGCGTGTTTACGTGCGTTTACGCTAATACAAGCTAACATACTTACAACCCTAAAAGAGTGCATATGTTACAGCACGTGTGCGAACAATTATGTAAAGGAGCCTTACCTCGTGCGTGGTGGCGCTCTTGACGTCGCACCATTTTTTTCGAACCTCGGCGGGCGTTCGAACGATCCCCGAGACAGCAAATAATGTTGCCGTGATGTTGTCCCAGGCCCTCTGTTTGGCCTGGGACCCTCGGGGACCCTCTCCTCAACTTTCAATTGCCCGCCGGTTCTCCTCGTAGCCATCGACGAGAATGGGTAGCTCCTCTTTTGTAAAATTCGGTTGTCGCACTCGCTTAGGCTGGTTCGCCGACATCTTCACGTTGACCAGGAACTGGGCCCTTATCACAACTGGGCCTCATGCGTGAGCGCACTTGCAATAATCGCTGACCAAGTCATCGTCGATTTACCTTCTTTCTCTTTAAAGACGCTTATCACTCGACACCCGGCGAAACTCGATCACAGAATCCAGTCATTAAGGAAAGAAAACGCAGGAGGAACTATTTATTGCATGTAGTACACTGAAGAAAACATTATCTTGGGTTCTCGTTTCTGCTTGGCGATGAAAGCAGGCTTTGGAAACTGTCACCTACTAGGACATTAAAACGAACATTGCAATAATTGACATACGGTATATACCAGATTGAAATGGTTTTCTTAACTGGGTGGGGTGAAGAAAACGGCTCTTAGGCGCCTGTTCCTGTGTTGAGCGTCGTTCTTTGTTGGCCGTCATTTTAGGCGCCTGTATCACATTCCGCTAGCCACGTGACGTTCTCCGTTTGCCGTGGTTGTCTGCGTTATTGTGACACCTTCGCCTCCAAACGAAAAAAAATGAGGAGGGGAAGAAGAAAAAACACAGAGAAAGATTACCTGACCCCACGGGTGGCTCCAAGAAGGCTCCCTGCCCCCTTCCCCCACTCTCGTCCTCGTCAGTGCCCCCACCCCCAGTAAAAAAAATCCTGGCGCCGCCCCTGCTTAGCACACGCACCTCGAGTCATGCGACTATCTTCTTTTGCCGATTCATAGTCGATTGCTGGGACGCTTATGCAGCCAGAACAGAATGAAAAAAAGGCAAAAATAAAACAAAATGTGAGAAAAAGTGCAAATGAGGTAAACGTTAACGATAAAAACATCAAAGATGTTATACAGAAATTGACAATTATCGAAAAAACTGAAATAATTAGGTGAACAGAAAGAAGTCGTAACTTTACGTACGAGCAAAGCGCTCCGAAATTCCTTGCTACAATAAATCACCTAATAACACCGGTACTCACATTTTTCACTCAGGGGTGCTCTAATCGTCGCTACTTATACATTTCACAACGAAAGCTGTTACCACATCACAACAAGGGTCACGTGCGGCGCCAAAGATATCCGCCGTCGCCAGTGTCTGCAACCACTCTCGCGCGAAATAAAAAAAAAATTATGAATGGAGAACATTGAAAAGGCTGCCGGACTCGAACCAGGGTTTTCTACGCTTCAGCCCAGTGTTCTACCACTGAGCCATGCCGCTGCTCACAACGCCATCGAAAACTGACCCTAGGAATGCTTGATGTCTGGAAAGGAATCGCGTTAATGTGCGTAATAAAGCGTTTTAGAACAGCAAAGGAACAATCAGGCGTCGCACAATGGGAATTGCGTCACGAGTAGATTGTCGAATACTCCGACTCATTACTTAAGCTTCAGGCATAATTATTCATCGTCGTGAGTGACAGCATAAAACATTTTCACAAAATTTTTTTGCAAGTGTGTAACAGGTACCACGCTTCTCCGAAGAATGACAAAAAATCGCATTGTGAATGCCTCCCTACGACAAAAAATTACAATGATTTATGGCTTTGCGGGTATTCTGCAAGCACACTTGCAGGATATATATATGTATATCTATATATATATGTATATCTATATATATATATATATATTTATATATATTTATATATATGTATATCTATATATATATATATTTATATATATTTATATATATGTATGTATATATATATATATATATATATATGGCCCACGATGAAATAAAAGCGCGTACGTTTGCGCAGGCCCCACGGGCGTCCTGCTGCAGCAGACGCCTGGAACTGGAAGCTCACTTGAAGCGAAAAGACATTGGCCATCATCGTATACTCTCGATGCTAGACACTCGGCAAGCTGCCTTGTTATCATGTCGACAAACTTCTTTCTTTCCTTGTCGTTTCATCGGCTATCGTGTGTCCTCCTCACCCTCTAAAGTGCCGAATAAGTTAAATTCGCACCCGCGCTATAGCAATTCCTCCAGATAAGAGAATTGTTTGGCTAAGAAAATGCGTAGCCAAGAAAAAGCTTTGTGAATTCGGCCCCTGGAGCCTTTTCTGAACTATAATCGGTCATTTGTCTTAGCCCAATTTTTTTCTCTCTAAAAATGACAATTTTTCACAACTAGAGTGGAGGCCTGCCATGCCCGCAATCCTACGTAGCAATGGATTCCTTGCAGTTCAACCATCACGGCTATATAGAGAAGTTACAGTTAGCAAGCTGGAGTGCATTTGGCACATTAAGAAAAACAATGGGTGCAGAACTGCGAAAACGCAAGAAAGCAAAGGCATCCAGCTTTCTGTCGGGAAATACATATTTGGTCGGAGACTTTTTAGTGGTGTCATCATTGGAAAGACCAAAACTATTGTGATGGGTCATTAAAAGAACTAGTCAGTTTAGAGGACATGCGAAAAGCTGTCCGGTTCACATATTTTCTCATGGCTTCAAAAAATATCAATCACTGACACGGCCTTATCGAATGACACCGAAACTTAGTGTTAATTCAACAAAGCCCGATTGAATGGTGAACCATTGGTTCACAAAGAACACCTTCCAGCATCTGTATTCAGGCTGTTAAGCCAAATTATTTAAAACTAGCACATCCAGAATACTTGCTCAATGCCTTTGAAAACTCAAAACCATAACGATTAAGTGGATTGTCGTGTGAGAGTGGACTCCAAAAATATGTTTTCCGCTGGGATCAAACACTGTAAATATGCCCCCTCGTGGCTGTGTTCGCTTTTATTGATGACAATGTAGACCGTGTCAATGCGTTTAACTATTTTAGAATTTCACCAGGGCAGTGCACAACGTAGGACTCACGCACCCTTGAACTGCATTGACAGTACTGTGCTGACAACACGACTGCATATCAGGTGAAAAGTGAAGGTAGCCATCAGAGACGTTTTAACGCAAAAGGAAAAAAAATTATATTGGTGATGCATATTTGTCTTATGCCTATTGAACGGGTCTGTCAATTTGCTGTTACTCGTGGTATGCTCTTGAAATATTGTAGATTTTCAATTTTATATGCGATTATCTCAACACATGCTTTTTTTGTACTTAAGTTCTTTTTTCCGAACAACCATTGAATCTGGAATCCTAGATTTCAGCTGGTATTTAGGTAACGTTAAAGGGAATATGCTGAAGCACAATAATTGTATGAGGAAGTGCTCTTGTGCAATGCGACATCTAATAGCTATTGTGTGACAGCAAGGCACCTGGATTAAATATTCCCCAAAAATTAGCATTACAATTTTCAGTGATAAATGTGCTTTAGTAAAAATAAAAATGGCTCAATAATGCGATGATAGTAAAATAATTACTACAGCTCTTACGGTAACGGAGAAAAAGGTACATAAACTTCCCCTGAACTACATTGCAGATACAGGGCTTACCCTGTTCCCTAAGTCCCTGAGAGACGTTTGACAGGGCCATGAAGTTCCATGTATATCCTTCAATTTTCTCTTTTCAAACCATTATGGACCCTGTGTATGTGCAGGAATGATGTTATCCTACTTATGTTTATGAAATATTTATGCAGACAAATTTCTGCAGAAATCATGCTGCTGCAGCCATCGGGCGGCAAGTCAGCTTCAAGAGGCATGTGCACTTTCAGTTATTCTGAAATCGCGCTCAAGATCATTGAAAAGTGTGCTTTTTGCATGTGTTGAGACCACGACCTCCTCTATAAACTTACGACCGGCTCATGCCGCCGCTCCCCGTGTCGCCGGTTTTGCTTTTGCTTGTTTAGTTTTTTTTAGTTCTCGAAAGTGCCGCAGCACGCCTTGGCGCCACAACTAACCCCCACTGCTGCAGCCGCCAAGCCGCTGTTCTGCTTGGTGCGTGCGTGCGTTCGCATGATCTTGTGGCACTCGAAGGCTATCGCCGCTATCGCTTGTCACCAGTAGTCTGCGCAGTCAGGAGCGTTAGATAACGACAGCAGCAGCACCATTCCCGCAATGGTGTACTGCTGCGTTCCTTTTTGCAAGTCGAGCGATCGGCGGTCAACTGGGATATCGTTTCACGAGTTCCCCGTCACCCAGATTCGACAGGAGTGGTTGAAGAAGATCTCTCGACAGGCTGAAGGTAAGGCACTGAAAGTGCTGTATTGCATGCACTGCAAGATCTGACTAGTGGAATGCAGTTCAAAACTTTTTTGCGCGCTATGTATGCTGCTCAGCGTTGTTGGCTGGCGTCTAGAAACACAAGTGCTGTTTGTGGGATTCGTGGACGCCGATCGTGTACACAGCCCATCAGGCCCTCAGCCAGGGAAAGGGGGGGGGGGGGGCACGTAATTCTGTTGAACTATGTGTTTTTACCAAAAATAAATAATAAAAATAGGCGTTTTTCTCAAATAGTCAAGGTTTTCAGCAAGTGCCCCCCGCCACGAAAAAATTTCCTGGCTAAGGGGCTGCAGCCCATGCTACATTTTTCCTTTGTTGTACTGTCCTTTGTTGCCGCAAGACTCCGTGCACGTGGCCGTGTCAGGGATAGAGCACTTACTTTCAACTATTCCGCTCTGATGCACAGCGGTGTTGCTTTGTTGAGAAATTTGTTTTATTTATTACACTATTGTTTTGCGCTGGCGTTGTTTTACAACAAAATTAAGGGAAATAGGCGCAAATGGATCTGCCCTGAACTGATGCAGCTGCTAGTAAATTGAAATGGTAAGGGATTCAACTAGTGAATACACTAGAGATCCTTTTCTGTCACGTTGTGAAGGCTACTAAAAAGCTAATTCTTAATCGATTGTCTACTATCTGATAATTCTGGTGCGGTCTTAAATACAATATTTGTAGGACCAGGAAAACAGCCATGGGAGCCGAGCGACCGCAGCAAGGTATGCAGCTTGCATTTCAAGCCAGAAGATTACAGAGAAGGCCTGAAGCTGCGCAAACTAAAACCAGATGCCATACCTTCAATATTCCCGAGCTACCCAGGGTATATGCAGGAATCATCCCGAAAAGAGCGACAGCCTGTGAAAAGGTGTGCTGTGCCAGGGCTGTCACCAGACAAGCCTCATGCAGAAGCAAAGAAAAATAGGTAAGCTTTTTTTGTGTAATTAGTGTTTGTTTAGCCACGCCCAAATTTCTTCTAATACATGCTTCATCCTGTAACACGTCGAAATTCTTAATGTTGCAGGCCAGACATACCCTCTCCTTATAGGTCCCCGTCTGAGAAGATTGATGAGCAGGAAGACAATTGTGTGGCTGGCAGCAGTACCGCACATCAGGAGGATGAAATGCTGACAGAACCCTGCAGTGAACCCTCCTCTCTGCCTTTAATTTTGCCTGCACCTGAATCTTCTTTCTGCTTGCCTAAAACATATCAGATGCCCAAACAAGGCAAAACTGTCCAGTGCCAGACAAGTCCATCAAAGGCAACCAGACCACGTGGAATGCAGACTAGGCTTTCACTGTCCCGAATGACCAATCTCCCGAGGAAAGTGCAAAACCTTACCCGGAAGTGTCAAAGGCTTCAGAAAAAGCAGCATCACCTACAGGAAGAGCTCTCCACTCTGAGGCAGGAGGCAAAAAAGGCGTCCTTGTTGATGAAGAGAACAAACGTCGAAATCCTTCAGGTGTGAACTTATCTCTTTTTGAACATTAAAAAAAATCTCATTACCTGCTTATATCATACTTGCAGCAAAAGGTGGAGGAGAGCAACGAAAAAGCTCTGTTCCTTCAAGAGCAGCTTGCTTTTCTGGGCAAAAAGAAAGGGCTATGGCGTGAGGAGACAGTGCGCAAATGCGTTCTTTTGCACGCTAAATCACCAGCCGGGTACCGCCTTCTTCGGGAGATTGGTGTCTTGACCTTGCCGAGTCGCTGTACCCTCAAGCGATACATTGGCGCATGCACTGGAGAGGTGGTGTCCTCTCTCATCAAGCAGCGCCTTCATGCAGAAGTGAAACTGCACTCTAAGGAGGTACGTTATTTACTCTTCGCCTTCACTTTTTTGCCAGGAGTAAAATTACTGGAGCTATGTTCTTTGCGATTATTGCAGGCACGCTGTGGGTCCCTGGTGATGGACGAAATGTCACTAAAGCAATCTGCACTGTACCATAAACAGTCCGATGCTCTCCATGGATTTGTCGACCTAGGAGGTGCCGAGGTAGACTATGGCCTGGAGGAGCAACTGGCAACTCACCTACTCTGCTTCGTCTTTGTAGGACTGTCTACCCACTACAGGTATGTGAAATATTCGGCTACTCTCCGTTCATGTCATGTGAACCTGTGCAGATAATTTTTTTTCCAATCCTTCAAATGATTACCGTGTCCTTTACCTAATGCCTAGTGCTTTTACAATTACAGGCTGCCTGTAGGATATTATTTTACAAAAGGATTGACAGGGGAGCAACTCGAGCAACTTTCGTTGAAAGTAATGCAATCAGTTGAAGATGCTGGGTTTGAAGTGGTTAGGTTGGTTGCTGACAACCACAGCACTAACTGCAAGTTTTTTGCCAGCTTGTCTGGTGGCCAAATATGCCCTGTTGTCACGTGAGTAATTGCTCAGTCACATTTTTGCTAAAGGTTACACCTCCTTTAATTGTGCATAAATTTATGAGCTATTAGAGTGTTGAAGCAAATGTGTCCTGTCAACATTTTCACAGACTCCTAACAGTATTCACTGATCCTTTACAGGCACCCTCTCGATCCAGACAGGCAACTGTTCCTGTCGTTTGACTATTGTCATATCATAAAAAATGTCAGGAATCAGTTCCTCGACACTAAAAGGATTTTCAGGAATGCTGGAGTGCTCATCGTTCCAGACTACCTGAGGTACAATTTGGTAGCTTTTTCATGCCTTACAAATTGACAGTTTAACATTTCATTTTGTCACAGGAACTTGCATGACATACAAGAAAAGCAGGTGGGTGCTTTCAAGCTTGTGAGGTGCTTGACTAAAAAGCACCTTTGGCCGAGCAATTTTCAGAAGATGTCTGTTGCCAGGGCTGTTGCGATCTTTTCTCCTCAGGTAAAGAGTGCATAAATGTTTATTTTAGAAGAAACTCATAGAAAAATATGATTTCACCCCAAGCATGTGGTGATGGTTATCCCAGTCATAATCACCTGTATTATAATTTTATTCTAGGTAACATCTGTGCTCAGGTTTTTACTAAAACATGCACAGCAGCTCGGTTTCCATGGGTTCGACGACTCCCTGCCAACCATTGAGTTCATGGAACTTGTTTATAAATGGTTTACTCTCCACAACATTAAGAGCACCTCATTGTTCTGGATGAGTAGAGACGCTCTGAGAATGCCCTTCTATGGTCCAGATGACGAAAGGTATCCATGAACTACTTCTAATTGTCATTTATCTTCTATTTGTGTGAAAACATGAATGGTTCCATTTTCTTTATATGCACAGTTTTGTATTAGGTATTCTTTGCTATTAAAATGTAAGCTTGAAACCTTTGTAGTTTGTCCGTAGGCCAAGTGCCACTTTCTAACTGATCTCATTGCTCATACTTTTATCATGCAGGCTCCTCTGGCTTGAAAATGAGTGCCTCATCTATTTTGACTTATGGACAGAGAGTACAGCACACAATCTAGAGTTTTTGTCAGAAGAAACTTATGAGGCCCTGAGAGTGACAACTATGTCAACTGTTCTCTGCATCAGGCATCTTCTTGGGCGCGGATTTCATTTTGTCCTTACAGGAAAGTTTTCCAGTGATGATGTGGAATCCCTGTTTTCTACCATACGACAGCTAAATGGCTCCAATGACCAAACCGATGCCTACGCAGCACTGTCGTCACTACAGAAGATCTTAGTAACGGGCTGCATTCATTCATCTCCAAGTGGCAATGTGGGAAGCGTTATAGGTTCTATTGGGGAGGCAACCAAACTCGCCCCTCAACCTGCAGCTGCTGCACCACCTGACAAGGACATTAAGAAGCTTCTGCTCCCTTACCTTACAGCATTGGAGCGCTTCCCAAGTGGGTTTGCACCATTTATTATTTACGAATACCTATCACTCACAAACATTTCAGTAATAAGATGCATGTTTTGAAGATACAGAGGAGTTGATCCAAAAGTTTTAGTGCTTGTGTGGAAAGGTGACGTGCAGCTACATCAAAATGAGAAGTTCTAAATCGCAGTCATGAGTTCCTTAACCAGGCCCGTAGCCAGGAATTTTTTTCGGGGGGGGGGGGGGGGGGGCACTTGCTGAAAACCTTGGCTATTTGAGAAAAACACCTATTTTTATTATTTATTTTTGGTAAAACACCTACTTCACCAAAATTTCGGGAGGGGGGGGGGGCTTGGTTGCTACTGTACGACACATTTACAAATTATTGCACTTTGCTTAGATGGTACCACAATTATAGATGCTACTACTTAATCACTTATTTTAATTGTATTGCCATTCTCTAAATTTTTTCTTTCATTCTCTCAGGTCCTCCTACTCAAAGCTTGCGTGCCAGCACACTGGCACTAATAGCTGGTTTTCTAGTGAGAGCTGTCCAGGATAACATCTGCTGCGAAGGCTGCCTTATGAAAATACAGGCACCCAAATCAAGCTCTACAACAACTGCTCTAATTGCAGGAATTGACAGGGGAGGACTCTCATACCCCTCATTGCCATTTGTTGGATTTGTAAGCGTCCTCGAGGGTGCAGCCTCTAAAGCAGCTGCGATCCTTGTGAAAGGGCAAAAACCCTTGCAGAAGTTTTCAAGCATAGTGCTCCCTTCACTTCTAAAAAATTCCTTATTTGCATGCACTATGAATGATAGTGTGTCACACAGAGCAGCTCTCTTGAATTTAATTTTGCGAAAATTCATGAGGCCTTTCTTGGCAAACTATGCCAATAATTTAACCGAGGCACATTCAAAGAGAAAGCTCCTCAACAGGAAGCCTTTGTCGCGAAAAGTTTTGAAAGTTTAAAGTTCTTTTTCCTTGTAACAGCCACATAGAATTGCTGTATGCTCATGCACATCTTGGCTGCTGACCTTCTTTTGAATACAGATAGGAGTGCGAGTTTGTTTTTCCAGTGTCATTTTAGCCTTATGAAACAAGACATGCCTGAACAAGACATCAAGAATGTGCGGTCCACACTTCCTAGTCTTCTGACTTGGGTATCATTCTTTATATTGGGTTCATCTTTTTTCTCTTTTTTTTTGTCTTGCCACGTAATCTTAACTTTTTCGGTTTTCTTTAACCCCCAAGTTTCTGCACTATATATTTGTACTGGTACAATGCAGTGGCTCTACACTTTGTTTTTGGGATGGCAGCATGTTGCTAGTCATAATTTTTCAAGGTTTCAGAATTTATGGATTTGATCACATGAATGCAATCAATTGTGGGGCAAGCTTTTCTAAAGCCAGCTTGCTTCCTTCATTGATTAAAGTGCAGCGCTTTCCTTATCCTGTTTTAAAGAACCTTCGTGAATATATTGCTGAGAGTTTAGTAGAATAATATGGGCACTTTTCCAGCTAAGGCATACATTCGAGATCTTGAGACATTCTGCAATATTTAGTGGAGAGCAGAGTGGATCAGAGAATAAACAGGGGTAGCTCACATCTATCTTTAATAGAAAAAAGTAGAGCTGCGCAGGCAACGTAGTGCACAGGACCTATAACCAACGTGCAGCGAGAGCAACGGAGTGGATATCGAGGGATGGCTAACGCAGCCGAGTTAAACAGTTAGGTTGCTTGATGAAATTCAAGAGGTTCACTGGGATAAAATGGAATCGGCGTGTGCAAGACGGGGGCAAGAGATCATTGCGAGAGGTCTTTACCCTGCAGTGGACACATAATAGTCAGGTCATGATAATGACATAGGATATTTCACCCCTGCATTGATAATATTTGAAAGTTGTTGGATATCTGGGAGATTTTGTCTGGTCCCAAAAGCAGTGTTTACTGGATCCTAGGGCAGTATTTTGCTTTGAGCAGGGCTGAATTTTAGTTCTGCCAGTAGTTACTGCAGATGGAGTGCTGATGGGCTCTAGGTAAAGCAAGGGGTGCTAGGTAGTTTGTGCGTCTATATATTCCTTTATGTCCTTGGCTGTACTACTCACTTTTTTTACTAGAGGTATTGCTGATCACACTGTTAATGTTTTTGTGCACTAATAAATTGCATTTTGCAGGTATCAACATTTTCGTTGCAGATTAGATTTTCTGTACTGGTATCTGATGCTTAAAAAGCAATGTTTGGACTAGCATATTATTTACTACTGTTGCTGCAGTGTACCATTGTTCTGGGAATAAAACATTTGTTTGAACCATAAGCTTACTTGTCTGTTTCTTGCCATTTTACAGTGTGAATACAGCCACTTACAAATGGAAAATTCAAATTTTTAGCACTGAGCGAGCAATTTATGCACATTTATAGCGGTCATAAGGGACTTCTAAGCATTTTATTGTAAGGGTGAAGGCATCAGGTGAAATAAAATTTTGTTCTTCAATCCCATGCCACGGAGGCTTTTGATGTGTGTCGGTACAGCATGCATCACAGGCATGATGTGAACGAAACAATTGGCAGCTGAAGCATCAGGAATAGTACATTATTGGTGGGTAATACCATGTGGGTTAATGCTAAAAGTTCGTGGAATAGAATAGGGACAGTGCAAAGTGATTTAGCCAGTTAGAACTCATGCTTTAGATTATAAATAAAACTCGTTTCTATACAACGTTATTCCCATGAGGGAAACGGAGCACGCTAGAGCTGTTGCCTCATAATGCTTTGTATGTGGATGCTCCAGTAAAGGCGTGGGCGCACCGCCGATGTGAGACACGCGGAAATGCTAGCGACGCTCGAACAGAGGCCATAACTTCAATAAACTGTGTCTGATAATATATGTATGTACGAGAAATTGCTGTAACGTTGCGATAATCCGCCGGTTTTGTCGCACGCTTCCATCGTTAGACGTTCGCTAGACCCAAAGCACCCAGACGATAGCACAACTGCGCCCCTCTGTCGTCATCCGTGCACAGTATGACAACGATATGCTTGAAGGGCGACGTTCAGGTCATAAAAACTTACACGGGTTATCACATGCGTCGTTCGTACCGTATGTCGTCTTCATTTACGTCGTAGACACGTCGGTTTCAAGTTTCAACTTGTTACATGCAAGATCGCACCGGCTCGTCCACGAACGAATTATGTTTGCGGCTGCTAGACAGCGGTTAGGTGGGGCGCCGCTGCTTAAAATAAAGCGAGGAAATAAGGCTTACGTTCTCTGGGTTATGTGTCGCATATTGCTTTCGTTTGCCTGCACTTAGATGGGGACGCAAAGCGCTCGCGCAAAGATTGAGGTCCGGTAACGAGCATCCCGAAGCCATCCACCACGGTGCTTCTCACAACCAGAATGTTGCTTCGAGACGTTAAATCAGTGGATTGCTCGATCCACGCGTTAGAAACTAGAACAATGAGAGGAACGCGCACACACGAGTGCACCACAACGGTCGTGCGTCGTCTGCTATGGGGGTAAGTGGTGGCGGCATCTGGCGGTACCTCCGGTCCCTACACGCCAATTTTTAGCTCCATACGCCTCCGTAGGGATGGCGCCGGTGAGCAGGTCGTAAGTTTATAGAGGAGGTCGTGGTTGAGACGAAAGGATGAAGCATTCATTGCCTGAAAAAGCTACTTATCAGGGCCTCGAAAAAATGGGCAGTTCAAACACACTTTTCTTAAAGGGCCAGTAAACAGGCTCAGACTTTTTTTTACAACCCCCAAACAAGCTCGGTAATTCGTGGAGTAGACCGCAGTGATCACGTTTTCTTAGTATTACAGAGCGGTGCGCCGCGCACAACCTCCATTTCAAAAAACAATTCCCGCCCTCCTTTCCTATGCCTGACCGATCTCCTTGCACGCGCAGTAATGATAACTCAGCTATCAGCGATGTGACGCAGCATGCAGCTCGTTAAT